CTAGGCCAGAGCCCCCTCAGCTCTGCCCCCTCCCACCACTTCCCCAAACCTGATGGCAGTAGGACAGCCCAGCCAAAGAGGGGAGGCTTTCATCACCTGAGGAACACCTCTAAACGGAGTCCATTCAGTCCTGGCTTTATTCATTCATTTGACAAATACCTGTTGTGTGCCAGGCCCTCTGATGCCTGGGGATGTGGAGAGGAATAATAAAGGCTCATTAATTATAGACGCTCAGGGGTGCCTGAGGGGCTCAGTCTGTTAAGCGTCTACCTTCCGCTCAGGTCATGATCCCAGGGTTCTGGGATTGAGCCTCACATTTGGCTCCCTGCTCAGCAAGGAGTCTGCTTCTCCTCTTCCCCCCTCCCTCTATCCCTCCCCCTGGTCCTGTGCCCGTGTTCTCTCTCGCTCACTCTCTCAAATAAATAAAATCTTTAAAAAATGATAGACACTCAGTCGACAGGAGTTTCTCACCCCCAATTATTTATATGTTTATGTATGTGTGTATTTACATTTGTTAAGCTTTAAAAAAAAAAACAAAAAACAAAAGAGAAGGTCCCCCACCTCAGAGAGCATCTCACGTGAGACTGACAGTAAGGCGGGTGTGTAGCTCATGGTGGAGAACCAATGGAATTGCTACAGGGATATGGAATCCCTGGGTGCGGGGGTGTATGGGGGAAGCCAGTCAGGGAACGTTTTCTTTAAAACGAGTTGGGTTTTGCCTTTTGATTTCAATTTCAGATAAATATTGAGTAATTATTTAGCATAAGTATGTCCCAGGCAATATTTGGGACATACTTGTACTAAAAATTTTTGTGTGTGTCTGAAATACAGATTTAACTGGGCTTCCCTTATTTTTATTGGTTAAATCTGGCAGCCCCACATTGAGGTAGTTTGACAGCAGAGGGAGGTCGTTCCAGGCTGAGGGAACAGGACATACAAAAGAAAGGACTTGAGGTACAGTTACTTCCCATCTGGTGTTTAAAGCTAGATAGGGAGAGCCAGAAGATTCCGGTTCCACCAATAATTATTTTCCATCTATAAAGTGCAAAAGTTCAACGGTATAGAAACCCAGTCCCTGTCCTGACCTCCCAGTCCACTTCCTTACTACCCACTTATCCTTTTATCTCTCTGTTACAGTCCCTAGGCCAACGGCATCAGCATCGCCTGGAGACTAATGAGAAAGACAGATTCTTGGGCTTCGCCCCAGACCTACTGAATTAGAAACCGTGTGGGCTGGGCCCTTCATGATGCGTTTTAACAAGCCCTCCAGGTGATTCTAGCAAATTGGAAAATTTGGAAATTTTGGAAATTACTTTTTGGAATTTTGGAAAATTACTGATCCACAAGTCAGAATGTTGAATGAGTGCGGTTGCTTAAAATCAGTAACGTAAGTCAGGTGTAAGAAGTATTGGCAGTGATGGGTGGTCCCTGGCTGATGGACAGCTCCTGTCCCTCCGTAGGGCGCAGTCTCCAGTCATCTCCAGACGTTTGTTGCAATGAGGAAACCCTGCTCCAGTGTCACCAGGTGTTTAGGATTTTCAAGAGATGAACAAGGGTTAAAGATTTTATTTGACTCATTAGTGAAGATACTGAGGCGATGTTACAACCAGTTCAAAGGAGAATCCATAGGACACACATATTTATAGATCAGGAATATTGAAATGGAGACAAACTGGTTTTTCCACATGAAGCAGGTTGTATCTTCCCAGGACAAGTCATTTGCATGCTTATAGACAAGAATAATTTTTTTAAAAGATTTTATTTATTTATTTGACAGAGATCACAAGTAGGCAGAGAGGCAGGGGGAGAGAGAGAGAGAAGCAGACTCCCCACCGAGCAGAGAGGGGGACTTGATCCCAGGACCCTGGGATCATGACCTGAGCCAAAGGCAGAGGCTTTAACCCACTGAACCACCCAGGCGCCCCTAGACAAGAATAATTTTTTTTTTAATTTTATTTTTTTAAACATATAATATCTTTTTATCCCCAGGGGTACAGGTCTGTGAATCGCCAGGTTTACACACTTCACAGCACTCACCATAGCACATACCCTCCCCAATGTCCATAATCCCACCCCCCAACCCCCCTCCCCCCAAAGAATAATTTTTAATTGCTTTCAGTTATCTACAGTTTACAGAGATTACCATAATTCCCAAAGAACCAAATACAGAGAACATGGAAGGGTCTGCTATAGATGGTGCAGTTTCTTTGAAAAAGTTTCTCCTATATGAATAATGTGATAGGTGGAAGCTGTCCCCCGAAAATTCTAAGCCCCTATGTGCTGGTATTTGGAGGTGGGACTTTGGGAGTTAATTAGTTTAGATGTGATCACAAGGGTGGAGCCCTCATGAAGAGATTAGTATTTTTATAAGAGGAAGAGACCACAGTGCTCTCTCTATCCCTCCCTCCGCTCCCTCCCCCTTGGAAGCACATGGCAATATGGCAGCCCTCTGCAAACCAGGAAGTGGAGTCTTACCAGGGACCCCGTCTGCAGCACCTTATCTGGGACTTCCCAGCCTCCAAACCTGTGAGAAAAGGCTTGTTTAGGCCACGGAGTCTGGGGTATTCTGTTACAACAGCCCGAGTTAAGACAGGTAACAACTGTAAAAGGTTTAGTGTAGAAGCTGGCAAACAGCTTTCATGACAATTTCCATGTAGAGAGATGCTATGGGCAGCAGTCAGACGGAGATGTGTGTAGCTGACTTATTCTGAAACTCTGATAACACCATGGTGATAAGACTGTAAATTTACTCAGGGGTAGGGATGTCACTGGGCCACAAAGGTACAAGAGCCCCTGGCTCTGAGGGTCCCAAACAGCTCAGGTGTGCTTCATCACTACTGATAAAATCCAAAGGCAGAGAGACAATGGCAATGAAGCAAGAAAAGGACATAATACAGTGAGGCCAGCACTGGGAAGGGAGCAGAGTAACATCTCAAAGAATATCTCCAAAGTACTGAAAATACTTCCAGGTTTGTCTAAGCAAAATGTGGGGCAATGGTGGGCAGAGAAGTTCTGGTCATCAATGACGATGATTAGGGTCAATCACAGGGTCTTGCTGGCCCAAGGCAGTCTCTACTTCTGGCGGGGGTAGTGTTGGTTCCCATCGCAGGATGCTTTCCCTGTGTGGGGCCATTTGCCACAGTTAAGAGATAAGCTGGAAAGAACTTAACCAATTAGAAAGTACAGACTGAGGTCAAGATGGAAGTGAAGTCCTTGTTGAGAGACAGGACCTAAAGCCATATAGCTACCTCTTACTACTACTAAGGTTCATTTGGCCATTCGACAAATCTTGAGTGGCACTCTTGTGCTAGGCACTATTCCAGGTACTGGGGATATGGATGTGTACAGAGCAGTTTGTGCTTTTAGTAGGGGGGTGAAACAGGCAATGGAGTATAGACCATTAGTTCTTCGAAGGAAAATTATCATTGTCTAGATAGCATGGCCTTTCATTGTCTCACAGACCTCCTATAAGAGGTTACTCATAGATATATAATAATGCAAATTATTCTGCAAGTTGGATGGACAGCCCCCACTGCTGATGGAAAAGTTAGTTTTGTATCCATTTATCCATGTGTTCCAACATTCCTTTATTCTGTACACATTAGCCTTTTCTTTTTAAAAATTTAAATAATCTCTTTACCCAATGTGGGGCTTGAACTTTCAACCTGGAGATCAAGAGTCTTACACTCTACCGACTGAGCCACCCAGGTGCCCCCAACACTTTCTCTCATTTAAATGAATTATAACATCACATCTCCTCAGTTCCCCTCATTTATTTTTATTTTTTTAAAGATTTTATTTATTTATTTGACACAGAGAGAGAGAGATCACAAGTAGGCAGAGAGGCAGGCAGAGAGGGGGGAAGCAGGATCCCTGCTGAGCAGAGAGCCCGATGCGGGGCTTGATCCCAAGACCCTGAGATCGTGACCTGAGCCAAAGGCAGTGGTTTAACCCACTGAGACACCCAGGTGCCCCAGTTCCCCTCATTTAATTAAAGAGTTAAGGGGCGCCTGGGTGGCTCAGTGGGTTAAAGCCTCTGCCTTCGGCTTGGGTCATGGTCTCAGAGTCCTGGCATCGAGCTCCACATCATGCTCTCTGCTCAGCAGGGAGCCTGCTCCCCCGCCCCCCTCTGCCTGCCTTTCTGCCTACTTGTCATCTCTCTCTCTCTCTCTCTCTCTCTGTGTCAAATAAATAAATAAAATCTTTAAAATAAAAGAGTTAAGATATTTAACACGGGTTCATTTCAATATGTATGAGAATCATGACTTTTTTGAGGAAAAATTATGCTTTAACAAAATAAGCAATATCTAGTATCGATGGCGTAACGTGTAATGGAGAAAAGAAGGTATTATGATGGAAAGCAGGTGTGTCGTTTCAGAAAAGGTGGTGTGGGGGAAGACCCTCCTGGATACTTCCCACTGAGTAAAAATACTAGCCCCCCAGGGGCACCTGGGTGGCTCAGTGGGTTCAAGCCTCTGCCTTCAGCTCAGGCCATGGTCTCAGGTTCCTGGGATCGAGCCCCACATCGGACTCTCTGCTTAGCGGGGAGCCTGCTTCCTCCTCTCTCTCTGCCTGCCTCTCTGCCTACTTGTGATCTGTCTGTAAAATAAATAAATAAAATATTTAAAAAAAATACTAGCCCCCTCAAAAACTATTTCTAGTTTATCTGAAAATCAAGTTGAACTGGGTATCCTGCATCTCATCCAACAAGCCTACTCCAGAAGGACCAGAGCACGCAGGCGTCGCGAAGCTGGTTGATAGGTTTTGACTCCGTTGCTGGTCTAGAAGTAGACTGGGCAAACTCAGCCTCTGCTGAGGGGAGGCATCTCTGCAAGGCGGCGCCCCGGGCCCAGGGGCCCGCAAGGAGGCGGGGCTTGGCTGCTGGGCGGGGCCGCACCAAGCCCCGCCCCATCACGTGCCAACCCTCGCCTGCCGCGTCGGCAGCCCCGGATCGCGCCGGACGGCGGCTGCTAGACGGCAGGGACGGTCGCAGCTTGAGCGGCGGGACACGGGCCATGGCGGCGGCGGCGACAGTGGCAGCGGGGGCCGGGGCCGCGGCGGGGGCGGAGTCGGCCGAGGGGCCCCCGGGGCCGGCGGCGGCGCTGGAGCTGTGGCTCAGTGAGTAGCGGGGCCGCCCCTCTGCGGGGGCCCAGCACCACACGTGAGGCCTGGCTTCCCGCCTCCCCGGGCCTTTCTTCTGACGCGGCGGCGGCGGCGGCGGGCAGGTGGCCGTGGGCCGGGGCCTGGGCCGGGCGTGGGTGCGGGGATCGCCCCGGGTTCCCCGGAGGAGCCTCAGGAGCCCGCCGGGCGGCGGAACCCGGGACTAGGTGCTCGGCCCCCTGCCACTGCCCACCTCCACTGTCGTCGCAGCGCACAAACATGATTCACGTAATGGCTAGGGTTTGTGGAGCTTTTCTTTTGTGTCAAGCACTGTGCGAGAAGCATTTCAGCCATTGTTACTCCTCACTACGACCCCAAGAGGCAGTTTCTATTATTAGCCCCGTTTTGGAGAAGAGGACGTTTACCCTGAAGGAGACTCGTGCAAGCCAGGCAGCTTCTTGCTGTCTCTCTGCAGCTGGCACAGATCTCTATCAGGCCGCTGTTGTTAATGTCAAAACAAGACCTTTATACCTTTTGTGTATGTTTACTCTGGCCTGACATGTGTATGGTGAGCTTCATGACAGCCCTGGCCGGTAGGGGTAACCGATGAGGAATTGAAATTCAGGGAAGGTACAGATTATGCGCCTTGTATAGGGCTTTGCTAGGTGCTGGGAATCCTGAGATGTCTAACACAGGGTCCTTGAACAGAAAGATTTTGTTTAGTGGGTCCAAGCCTGAAGTAAGTGCACCTTGCTGTAATTATGGGAAATTGGGGGTGCGGCTGTGTTTGCTTTATATGCGATAAGAGTTGATCGGTTTACCTGGGGATTGTCACAGCAGACATAGCGTTTGAGTGGAGAGTGGAGGTGAAAACATCTCAGGCACTCAGGCACAAGAAACCATGTGCAAAAAGCTGGCCGGGAGGGCGTGGAGCCTTTTGGAAACCAGTAGTGGGAACTGCTGGAGTGTAAGGCCTAGAGAACAAAGACCCTGGAAAAGAGGCTCCAGGGCTAATTGGGGCTTGTATGCTGCAGGAAGGAATTTCTGTTTTATCCTGTGGTGGGGTGGAGGTGGAATTTTCAGCGGGAGCATCTGATCGGGTACACTTATTAAAAGCCTCACCTGCAGCCATGTGGAGCCAAACTGATTCAGGAGGCTAGGCCACGGAGGGAGAGTAAGTTAAAAGCTGTTTTGGGTGGGGCCCCTGGGTGGCTCAGTGGGTTAAAGCCTCTGCCTTCGGCTCGGGTCATGATCCCAGGGTCCTGGGATCGAGCCCCACATCGGGCTCTCTGCTCAGTGGGAAGCCTGCCTCCTTCTCTCTCTCTCTCTCTCTCTCTCTCTCTCTCTGCCTGCTTGTGATCTTTGTCTGTCAAATAAATAAATAAAATCTTAAAAAAAAAAAAAAGCTGTTTTGGGTAGTGCTTAGGGGCTGAAGTAGGACAAAGGCATTGGGACTGACATTAGAAATAATTAGGCACAGTCAGCAGCCTTTGATGCATTTGAATGGAGACTAGGGGATCCCAGGTTTTGGGCTCCGGTAACTGGTTCGTTAGAAATGTCTCACCTGTGAGGAGGACTTAGTTGAAGATGGAAGAGATGGTTGACTTGTGGAGTTTGAGGTACAAGTGGCACAGCCAAAAAGAGACCCTCAGGGCAGGTGTTCAGCTGCAGAAAGGGTGGGAGCTGGCGGCTGGTGTGGGAATCTGGTTCACTGGCAGAGAGCTTGTCCAGGCAGGCGGCGGTAAGAAGAGCAGAGGTTTGCATACAGAGCATGGAGAACCTCAGCACTTAGGAAGCACGTGGGAAAAGCAGCCTGACGTGGAAGGCGGAGTGGACACGGGCAGGAGAAAGCTGGGAGGGTGGGGAGCCACCCATCTCAAAGGAGGGGTATAGTTGGTGGGCAGAAAGATGGAGTAGTGTGAGGCAGGAGGAAGGGAGACCTTGAATTTGGCAACTAAAAGGTTACTGATGAGGCATCTTTGAGGTAAGTGGTGGGGAAGGCTGTTGAGAGGTGGTAGAGAACGGGCCTAGACTGGATTTGCCAAAAAGAGTCGGGTGGATGGGCCGAGAGGACAGGGTCAGCTGACCCACTGCAGGAGATAACAGGGAACCTGACTGCCCAAGGGGGTAGGTTCTTCAGCCCCCACTGTTTTAGGCCGTTGTGGTCTCAAAGCTGCTAGATCTTCCGGTTTTTCAGGTAGAGCTAGAACCGCATTTTTATGTGAAATCTCTTGAGTTTTGAAGAGTTGGCAACAACTAATTTGAAATATAAAGTTTGTTTGATGTAGGGAGTGTGTAGTCCCTGGTCACCAGCCCTTTTTTCTTCCTTTCTTTTTTTCTTTTTTTAAGTGGTGTTTGTGAAAGGAAGGAGGGAGGGTAGCTAGAGGGAATTTAGGTGTAAAGGAGATCTTGTAAGGAGAGGGGCACCTGTAAGCCCCTCTTTTCGCTGCTGTTCCTTTGGGAACTCTCCTTAAATTCCAAGTCCAATGCTGGAGCTATGGACGAGGGCCTTGAAGATGCTGAGGGAGGTCAGAGCCAGAGCAGAAAAGGGTGACAGGGCTTCCAGAGAGAAAGGGCACCTTTTGTTTTTCTGAATGGGGAAGGAGATAAAGATGATTACACATGCAAATAAGGTTCTGTGTGACTGCCACCATTCCCTGCTAAGTGTCAGGGCCTGAAACGGAATAGGGGGCTTGAGGAAGGAGGTGGGGGAAGTTCGGGAACAGCTGGTAAGGGAAACAAAAGGGCGCCCACCTGGGTGCTTGAGAGCAGGAGTTCAACCTTGACACTGTTGACATATTGGGTCTGATAATTCTGTGTAGTGGGGGGGTCTATCTTGTGCTTTATAAGGTCATTAGTAGAATCCCTGGCCTCCACACACCGGAATGCCCACATTAAACCAAAAGCTTTGCCAGATATCGCCAAATGTCCCCTCGAGGAAAGGGGCAGGGTCACCTTCCCCCTCACACTTGAGATCCTTGGAGTTTGGACTTTGGAGTGTTGATTGGACATCAGAAGTGTTTCCTGTAGTCTTCATGGTTTTGTGATTCTCCACCCCTAGTAGGATCAGAGGAGGCGAACTATGGTTTAAACTGGATTTGCTGGGATGTGGGGCACAGTGGAGCTGATTCAATGGAAGGCCAAGGAGGCAGAGGGTTGATGGTGTGGAAAGGACAGGAGTGTCGCTGAAGGAATACACCGTGAGTCTGGGCGGGATGGGGAAGGAAGTCCTTGTAGGTAGGGTCTGAGGACTGCCAAGCTCAGGTCACTAGGAGACCTTGCCTTAGCAAAGCAGGGCAGCTGTGTCTTGAAGATGTGGATAGTGGTAATCTGATCGTGGAGTTAATATATGTGAAACACTGAGAACGGTGCCCAGCACGGAGTGTTAGATATTATTACCATTAGTGTTTTTTTTCAGTTGTGAGTGGCAAAAGTCATATCAGCTTAGCAGGAGGAAAAAAAACAACTTTGGGTCTAGAACTGGGGAGTAGTTCCTCAAAGGAACATCAGGAAGCTGAAGTGATGAATCACTGAATTCTCCTGAAACCAATATTATGCTATATGTTAACTAACCAGAATTTAATAAAAACTGGGGTGGGGGGGTGCCTGGGTGGCTCAGTGGGTTAAAACCTCGGCCTTTGGCTCAGGTCATGATCCCAGGATCCTGGGATCGAGCCCCGCATCGGGTTGTCTGCTCAGTGGGCTGCCTGCCTTCCCGTCTCTCTCTCTCTGCCTGCCTCTCTGCCTACTTATGATCTCTGTCAAATAAACAAATAAAATCTTTAAAAAAAAAAATTGGGGTGGGGGAAGGAAGGTGTTACCAGGAGTATAAAAAATGCAAATAGGGGCACCTGAGTGGCTCAGTTGTTAATCATCTGCCTTCGGCTCAGGTCATGATCCCAGGGTCCTGGGATCAAGCCCCATGTCAGGCTCCCTGCTTGGTGCGAAGCCTGCTTCTCCCTCTCCTGTTTCCCTTGTGTTCCCTCTCTCTCTCTCTCTGTCAAGTAAATAAATAAAATCTTTTATTTTTATTTTATTTTTTTTAAAGATTTTATTTATTTATTTGACAGAGAGAGATCACAAGTAGACAGAGAGGCAGGCAGAGAGAGAGAGAGGGAAGCAGGCTCCCTGCTGAGCAGAGAGCCCGATGCGGGACTCGATCCCAGGACCCTGAGATCATGACCTGAGCCGAAGGCAGCGGCTTAACCCACTGAGCCACCCAGGCGCCCCTAAATAAAATCTTTTAAAAAGGAAATAGCTTTTGTGCATTCTGCAACCCCCCACCCCAAAATTCCATTGATTTTTGGTGGTGGTTCCCCATGCCTTCCCAGAGAGCTGCCTCGTTCTTGTTGCTGAGCCGACGCCCCACCGTATGAGGTTTTACTATGATTGATGTAACCGGTTCCCTGTTAGTGGGATGTTGAAAGCAGCGCTGGGTCCCCGTGGGTCTCTGGGACTGTAGCCACAGCGGTACTGCCAGGGGCTCTGGGCCATCTTACGTGCCTTTGGTGGGGTGCTTGGCAGAGTCCTGTCTCCTTCCCCCCTCGACCTGCTCCCAGGTGATATGTCCTGTCTTCCTTCCAGCTTCACTTTTGTGGTTCTCTTGGGGATCGGGCATGGTCAGATTGCAGTCTGTTTCCACTCTCCCTGCTTCTTGAGGGCTAGCTCATTCTTTATCTCGGAGTCTAGCACAGGGCATTCCTATGGTGGGTCTCGGGCTCCTGTCGTGGGCTTAACGGAAGGACTGCTGGACAGTAGGGGGTCGGTGGGTACTTCCCAAAGGATTGAATTCTAAGTGCTCCTTGAGGTGACCGCTTCCCCACAGCCTCAGGGTTCCCCTGTCCAGTGTAGGCTGCTCCTGGCGCCAGAGTCAGACTCTCGTGGTTCATTGGCAGCTGGTGTGAGATGATTTGGTTTCGGATTTAGTCACTCTTAGATGATCCATGTCACTCACTGCTGGAGGTCTCAGCTGTTTTCTTAATACCTCTCACCCTGTGGCAGGCTTAAAATGCATAGGAACACAGCATTTATTTTATTTTATTTTATTTTTAAGATTTTATTTATTTATTTGACAGACAGGTCACAAGGAGGCAGAGAGACAGGCATAGAGAGGGGGGGAAGCTGGCTCCTTACTGAGCAGAGAGCCCGACAAGAGGCTCGATCCCAGGACCCAGGGGATGACAACCCGAGCTGAAGGCAGAGGCTTTAACCCACTGAGCCACCCAGGCGCCCGGAACACAGCTTTTATTAAGCGGATACATGGCACTAGGGTTCTCTGTCCTGTCCAAGTGCCGGCTGAAGCAGCCACTTTAATGCCTGGAGCAGTCCTGAGAAGTCTTTTCCTGGCCATGCCCTGCTGGCCACCTGCCACTTCTTGGGGGCAGATGAGGTGTCCTGCACCCTGGGTTGGGGCTATGGTCTGATGGGACCCAGTGGCTGGACCTTGGGGGGTCGTTTTCTCTGGAGTCGCATGAAGACTCTGAAACAGCCTGGCAGGCTGCCATCATGTTATGAGAGACCCTGTTATTTCCGAACCAGGCTGGCCCTCTCCTGGAGTCAGACATCGGTCCAGCCAACTGGCCAGGCTCTGCAGAGCGAAAGGCCAATCATCATTCATTCAGCAGAGATTTGTGTGCATGACATTCTGGAGGACATGAATGTGAATGAGACAGGTCTTCCTGCTTTAGGGAGCGGGTAACAGTGGCGAGGAGGTTGAAGCTAGTTCCCAAAGAGGCCTTGCCTTGGTCAAGGAACCGAGAGAAATGTTTGGGCCCTGGCTTGGGGCAGACCCGGGACTGTAGTTGTGTTGCTGTTTTCCAGCAACAGTTGTGGCTGGGCAGGCTTCTTTGCCTCTAAAATGGTGAGAGGATAGTAGCAATCTCCCTTCTGAGCTGGACCCAAGAGAGGCTTGGGAAACACTCAGCCTGGTGGCTGATAACAGTAACTTCTTCACAAAAGAAAAGAAAAAAAAAAAAAAAGCAGCTAATACTACTACTGCTCTTTGGGGGCTGAGATAAACTTTGAAGGAATCTTCATGTTACAAATAAACTTATATTTTATAGATCTTCCTGCTTTGCCTTGGTTAAGGGTTTGGAGCCTAACTTAACCTCATAGAAGTATCTTCTTCCTTTCCTTGGAAAAACTGGTGGCTGTCTTATTCTCTTCACTTAGTGGGGAGGAGGATGGCTGGATCCTGCCGATCTCCGCTCTAGGTCCAGTCATGGATTGAGTTTCTGAATGCCCAGAGGCATCAATCTTGACCTGGTAGTGAACTAAAATTTCAGGAAGCTAAAATCAAGCAGAATTATTTAAGATGAGTCAGACATCCTTAATCAAGCTCTCTGAGAATCACTGCTTTAAATAATTCATTTCATGAGTAATTATTTTGTGCCTTTGAGGAAGGCATTGTACTAAGCACTGCAAGGCACATATGGCTTTTGCCTTCCAGAGTTTTATTCCCTTTAGGTGCAATAAGTCACACATACGTGTGTTTTTAAAGTAAAAGGCAGAGACTTTGCCTTATAATGAACAAGATTAGCTGTCCTTTATTGATTACTTTAGAGAGAGAGGAGGAAGCAGGCTCCCTGCCGAGCAGAGAGCCCGATGCGGGGCTGGATCCCAGGACCCCGAGATCATGACCTGAGCTGAAGGCAGTGGCTTTAACCCACTGAGCCACCCAGGCGCCCCTTTTATTGATTACTTTAATATTTGCTACCATACCAGGCACTTTAGACACTGTTTTACAAACTCAGGAGTGTCCCGTGAGGAAGGTGCTGTTTTCCTTTATAGTAGAGGGAACTGAGGCTCTGAGAGCCCAAGGACATGTAGCTAGTCAGGATTGGAGCTAGAGGTCTCCATCGAAAGGGGGCAGGTAGGGGTGCTTGGGTGGCTCAGTGGGTTAAAGCCTCTGCCTTCAGCTGGGGTCATGATCTCAGGGTCCTGGGATCGAGCCCCTCGTCGGGCTTTCTGCTCAGCGGGGAGCCTGTTTCCTCCTCTCTCTCTGCCTGCCTCTCTGCCTACTTGTGATCTCTCTCTCTGTCAAATTAATAAAATCTTAAAAAAAAATAAGGGCAGTAAAATGTGGGCCTTCTGAGAAGGAAGAGAGGCTTCTGTTTTGCAGGGGTGGGAGACAGATTGAGGAAGTCTTTTTGAAGAAGTGGCATTTGAATTGGGGCTCAAAGGATGGCTAGGGTTTGCAGTCCAGCATAGGAAAGAGCTTGGAGGAGGAACAGGTGAGGGAATGCAGACCATGGTGGCGTGGCTCCTTTGTTCCCCCTTGCTGTCTTTTTTCACTTAGAATGGAGTTGGCTTTTTGAATCTCACAGTTGAGCTAGGGAGACACATGACTTCCACATGACAGAAGTGTGGCTGCAGTCATGAAAGGTTAAACTCTGCTTGACCTTGGACTCTTCTGTAATCCGGGGCGGGAGGAGAATCACAGGGTCTGGAGCAGCCCAGAGGAGGTCTGGCCAGAAGGTGGAAATTCAGATAGGCCTTGAAAAATGGGTGGGATTTTAAGAGGAGAGGAGAGGAGTAAATGTTTAGGCATAAGGAATAATAGCAGAAACAGGACCCTAGAATCAGCCAGTTGCAGAGCTTGAAAGAGCTTCTGTCTCAGGAGCCTTTAGGGAGGTCTTTCACTGGAGGGACGGGTAGCCCCCCAAAAGGTGGGCAGCAAGGAGTGGGGGTGGTTAGGAAAGCATAGGACAGAGGCCTCCCAGCAGCTCCTTTGTGCAAGAGCAGAGCCTGGTTTAATCTGGGTGGGGCAGGATGCGTGGAACGGACACGCTTCTTGGGTGGCTGGACAGGAATTCTAGGCGGCATTGTTGGGGAGGGCAGGAGAAGCTGCTGTTGTCCAGCACCAGGAAGGGGAGCGATGACCCCTCTCCTCAGCAGAGTTCGGTGGTATCTTAGGCCTTCTTATCATCCCCCTTCTGCACGGATCTCTGGCTGTGCCGCCAGCCTCTCAGTGCGTAGTGTCCTCACATTTCATCAGGGGATCATAGTGTGATTGGAACTGGGGGGGTCTCTGGGAATGTGCAGGTTTCCAGAAGGGAACAGCATTTTGAGGAGTGAACGCAAGGAGGTCCTTTTTTTAGAGTGCACAAGTCGCTGATGCATGGCGAAGTTTCTGACACGAGACGGTCAGAGAGGATCTCAGTAAGCTGAGGGTTAGACGTAGGGGTATTGTTTTTGAGGAGGGGATGAGATGACCAAATGGAGCCACCTAGAGCCTTGTGGTGTATTCTGACCTTACCATCACATAGCTGAGCAAGTTAGAAGGAACCTCCCGCGGGGGGGCGCCTGCGTGGCTCAGTTGGTTAAGCAGCTGCTCTTGGCTCAGGTCGTGATCCCAGGGTCATGGCATCAAGCCGCATATTGGGGTCCCTGCTCCGTGGGAGTCTGCTTCTCCTTCTCCCTCTGACTCTCTCTCTCTCTCTCTCTCAAAAAAAAAAAGGGGGGTGGGGTAGCCTCCTGGATGCTGACCCTCACTCATCTTCATTGCAGGGCCAAAGTGGGGAATCCTGACCGGGCATGAGGGAGGTGCATGTAGGCCAACCACTGCACGGAAGGGGAGTCTGTTGCAGGACAAAAGCTTGCTTATTCAGCCAGCCAATCTTCACTGAGGCCGTATCTTGTGCCAGACACTGTGCCTGATGGTGGCCAATAGCATACATGGTCCTGTCCGTTTCAGCTGTCTGCTTGCTGGGTCTGATCCCCTGGAGGTGTGCTAGAACCGTCCTTGGCTACCACTTTATTTTTGGAGGGGTGGGTGTATATTTCTTTTCATTCTTTATTTTTATTTCCTTGACAGATAAAGCCACAGACCCAAGCGTGTCAGAACAGGATTGGTCTGCTATCCAGAATTTCTGTGACCAGGTGAACACCGATCCTAATGGGTAAGGTGACCTTCACACACATGCACTTGACTCAGGATACCTCAGACAAAGTACATGCTTCAGTCTCTTGGGTCTGTTTGACCTAAGAGAAAGAAAGTGAGGCTTTCTTTCCTTTTTTTTTTTTCCTCCATGATCTGAGAACATTATTTTCCTGGAGGTAGCAAATGGGAAAAAAATGGAGTGTTCTAAGTGACTAATGCTGAGGAGACCCCTGAATGTTAGGGATAGAATGTAGCTAGGTTATGTGGCAATGCAAAAGACATCAGTGTGTTCTCCGTAATTTAAGTGTCCTCTTTCTTAAGAAAACGTAGGAAAAGGGTGAGATTTTGTGGGTTTCTGGTTTTGGTTTTTGGTTTTGTTTTGTTTTTAATATTATTTCTGTTTCCAAAGCATCTGGATGGGAACTGAAGAATCATGCCAGCCATCCACATGTTTAATCTACATGTTGCTGCGTAGTCAGCATCTCAAACTAAGTGAAAAGTTTGATCACACTTTCTACTCCAGTGTGCACTGAGTGTCATCTAACAGGGTCTACTGCTCATGACCTTGTTACACACAGGTCTGGCCCTGAGCGTATAGCTTTAAGTTGTAGGGGTGGGTTGGCTGCGGGGAAGAGGATGGCAGGTGGTTTAGCTGCAGCAGGGGTGGGTGGGCCTCCTTCAGAGGCAGGTGTGTGGGCTCTGTGCCTGTCACTCCACCTCTGCTTTGGGACCCGTGCTTCTGGAAGAGGCGACGTGACAGAGTGTACTAAGCCATACCAGTTGGTTTCTTCCTCTCCACCCACATCCCAGGTCTCTCTGTTTTCCCTTAGCCCAACCCACGCGCCTTGGCTCCTGGCCCACAAGATCCAGTCTCCGCAAGAGAAAGAAGCTCTTTATGCCTTAACGGTGAGTTTGGCTTGGCCCTTGGCTTAAGTTTTCCTCCTGTGCAGTTAGAGAGCGCTGAACCCCAGGCCTGTTGCACGTGCTAGAGAGTGTCTGATAGTGAGTTCTGCACTGGGGTGGCCCCATCCTAGGTCTGTTTCGAGAAAGCAGCATTGAGCCTGCTTTGGGGGAAGAGAAGGCTTTCTTTCCCTTCATCTTCCAGAGACCAGGGCTGGCGGGTTCAGGTGCCACACGTAGCAGGGCCTGACCGCTCACACAAATGAGTGAGCTGCTGGGTGAGGATGGAAACCCTGGAGAGCACGAGGCTGGTGTGCAGAGGGCAGCTGTGGCACAGGACCACTTGGGCCCAGTGTTGCTAAAACTTTGCTTTCCAGGAGAAATTAGAAATCCAGATTTTTTTGAATCTGTTCTCAGAGTTTATCAATGTTTGTGACTAATTGTAAATGTTAAACAAGAGTGTGGACCAAAGAAGATGTGTGCCGGCCCATCTTGCCACTTGAGTGCCAGCCAGTAGCCTCTGGCTTAATAGTCCTTGTGCGCTACAGATCAGGTGTCTGCCTCTGAGCAGGGCCGGATTCTCTAGCCAGTGTCTCCTGCCCCCGTGGTCTCCTTAAAAGGTGGGGCGGCCTCAGCATGCACCCCACTGAACTTTCTCCTGGGCACAGACCTGGCGTTTATAGCCAGATCAGATAGGCAGGTGGCATTTTTTCTTCATCTGAAAATGTCACCCTTCCTCAAACTTCAGTGTCTTTGTCGTCTTAAGGAAACACTAGCCATGATTCCAGCAGACATTCATCGGCTGTGAGATGAGCCCTGAAGCCAGTGGTTTTCCCTTTCCTCATGGGGCTCCTGTGTCCGTGCAGGTGCTGGAGATGTGTGTGAACCACTGTGGGGAGAAGTTCCACAACGAGGTGGCCAAATTCCGCTTCCTGAATGAGCTGATCAAAGTGTTATCCCCGAAGGTAAGCAGCCTGGACTTGGCTGTACTGCACTTCCTCACTGTGCTGTACCTACCCCGGCCTCCAGACCTTGTGCCCCTTCTTGGTCCAGAGCTAGCCCTGCTCACAATAGAGCCTGCCGGCTGATCTCTGGTTTGCGACAGAGCAGAGGGGATGGCCTGCGTGTGACAGCTTTCCTCTTGTTGGTTTGTAAGCTCGGGAGCTTCCCAGGTGTGATCTGGAATTGAACATGACGCTTGTCCTGGGTGGCAGCAAGGCAAGGTGGTGGCAGGACTCCACCCCTGCCACATCTTCAGTGATATAGAGGCCTTAAGGGAGTTCGGTGAGAGGTACTGTGTAAGTGTTCCCCATACCACATCACTATTTCACGGCCGTGTGCACATTCCAAGGACAGCAGAAGGGGTGAGAAACCTTAGTTTGCCCAAGTCTGCTCACAAGTCAGCTGGCAGTCACATCTTTCTCAGTGACCTTCCCCAACACTCTCCAAGGTCTAGGATGCTGGTCATGTTCGTGAGCTGAGTCCTGCCTTTGGTTGTCAACATTGTCATGTTCTCCCTTTAAAGATGACCTTGGGGTAGCTGACCTAGAAGGGTGAGGAACTCAAGCTTGAGGACAGGTTTTCTGGTGGTGATGGCAAGAGATACCAGGTGTGGCTTTCAGTTTTATGTCCCTTCTTGCCTGCTCTCTGCATCTTTTCTCCTAGCCCCTGTTGTAGCAACACCGTTCTCAGGTGCCTAACATGGATGGAGCCCTTCTTTGCTACTTCACAGTAATTCTCTGATATCAGTTGTAGGTCCTATAGTTCAGTTCATTTCAGTTCTGCCACTAACTACCCAGAGTTATAGACCCTACACACTAAGGGCTCAGTCCTACTTAGACCTGCCTCCATCACATCCAGCAGGGGGTCTCAGGTGTCCCCAGGCTACTTCCTGCCCTCTGACCAACTACAAATTCAGGGGTTCCCATTACTCCCTCCATAGTTTCGTAATTCACTGGAAAGACTCACAAAAGATAGGAAAGCACAATACTCACTATTATCCTTTTGCTATAAAGGATGTAAGTGCAAGAGATCCATGGACCAAAGTTTTGGGGAGAATGGGGAGCAGAGCTTCGATACCACCCTCCCAGAACTCCATGTGTTCTAATCAGGAGGCTCCCCAAAGCTCCTTGTTTGAGAATTTTTATCTGAAGTTATGTAGGCATTTGATTAAATCATTAGCTAGGCTTGGGCACCTCGGTGGCTCAGTTGGTTAAGAGACTGCCTTTGGTTTAGGTCATGATCCAGGAGTCCTGGGATCAAGTCCCACATCAGGCTCCCAGCTCCATGGGGAGTCTGCTTCTCCCTCTGACCTCCCCTCTCATGCTCTCTCACTCTGTCTCTCTCTCTGAAATAAATAAATAAAATGTTTTTTAAAAAAAATCATTAGCTAGGCCTGAACTCCGTCTTCAGCCCCCGCCCCTCCTGGGAGTTGGGCTGAAAGTTCCGACCCTGTTGTCATGTGGTGGGTTTTTCTGAAGTGGCCAGTCTCTCCCTTGAAACTAAGTGCCCACCATGAATGGTAAACGTAAACTCACATGTGGTCCAAGGGAGCTCATGGTGAATAACAAAAGCTATTCCTAAAACTTAGGACATTCCAGGGGTTTTTGAAACTGTGCTGGGAACTAGAGCTAAAGACCAAATACATTTTACTGATCTTAACTCATTCAAAAACTGAGTGTCCCCTGTGGCTCTAACCTAGCCCAGTATACGGTGGGCTTCACTTGAGCAGTTATGGAGGTTGACTTCTGGAAATCCAGAAGGCACCCTGGGGCTGGGCACCAGGCAGTTTGGTTTCTCTTGCTGCCCATCTCCACCAGCCTGGGGCAGCTCGCTTCCCTGGACCTCAGTGTCCATCTCTGCCGAGGTAGCGTGTGCTGGCTAAGCCCTTTCCAGCTCTATAATTCTTTCCTTTTTATTTTCAGTACCTGGGGTCCTGGACCACAGAAAAGGTTAAAGGAAGAGTCATCGAAATACTCTTCAGTTGGACTGTCTGGTTTCCAGAGGATGTCAAGATCCGAGATGCTTACCAGATGCTGAAGAAACAGGGTCAGACTCCATGGCTGACATTGCATTTCCCCGTCACCGTCGTTCTGGTTTTTTGTGTGCTTTGTGGTTTTCTCGGTGAAAGCTGGGCATCTTGCGTAGGACAGTAGAGTCTAAGACAAATGATTTTTTTAAAGATTGTTTTATTTTTTTTTAATTTTATTTATTTATTTGGCAGAGAGAGAGAGATAACAAGTAGGCAGAGAGGCAGGCAGAGAGAGGGGGGAAGCAGGCTCCCTGCTGAGCAGAGAGCCCGATGCGGGACTCGATCCCAGGACCCTGAGATCATGACCTGAGCCGAAGGCAGAGGCTTAACCCACTAAGCCACCCAGATGCACTAAAGATTGTTTCATTTTTTTAAAAAACTTTATTCACTTATTTGAGAGAGAGCATGAGTGGATGGTACGGGGGGAGGGAGAAGTGTGGGGCTCTATCCCAGGACACTGGGATCATGACCTCAGCCAGAGGCAGATTAACCGAGCTGTGTCTCCAGGTCTCAGTAGCACCTGTTTGTGATCCTGCCCCTCCCCCAGGGCCACAAGGCTTTCTTTTCTGTTTGGAAGCTGCAGTCTGTTCCCACAGCTGAGGAGTGTAGGGTTTGTCCTTTCCCAGCACTTGAAGGTGCTTGTTCTGGAGGAGAGAGGACGGAAGTGGGACAGCAGGCTTTTGCCGTGTCTTTGCATGAGTGCCTGGTGAGGCCCTGTGAAGAGCCTGTTGCTCCTGCACTGGTGTGGACCTCAGAGGTTCTGTGTTCTCTCACCTGCTCACTCCAGCCTGTAAACAATTGAGAAACAACTTTATCTGAATTTTTCGCTTTGGTATTGTCTTCCGTCTTTCCTTGGAGGCCCTGCCTTCCCTTAGATTTCAGGTTGTTCTTGGCTCTGTGTTTTCCACCGTGATGGATTTGGGAAAAGTGGTCGATCTGTAGGTTGTCCAGTGCTGTGTTGTTGGGGGTAGAGTCACGCAGCTTGTACCTTTCTGTGTCCTGAGCAGAAGTTGGGAGTCCACAGAGCCTTGTAGAAGAGGGTACCTGGATGGGGCACCTGGGTGGCTCAGTTCATTAAGCTCAGGTCATGACCAGGGTCCTGGGATTGAGCCCCGCATTGGGCTCCCTGCAGGAGGCCTGCTACTAACTGTCCCTTTGCCTGCTTGTGCTTCCTCTCTTGCTGTCTCTCTCTGTCAAATAAAAAATTAAATCTTAAAAAAAAAAAAAAAAAAAGGAACCTGGATTCAGGATGGACTGTTTTTCTCCATCACATGTACTCAGGGTCATGGCTTCTACAGTAATTTCTGGGCCCTGGGAGGTTACGTACCTGCATGTAATGATCAGTGTTCTTATAGCGTCAGGCCCATGTCCCACTAACCTTAGGGTCTGGTGCTGATCTCACTTGGTTGGTTCTGATGTCCCTGTCTTGTGCTGGTTCCTTGAAGTCAGCTGAGGGAGGATGCAGAGGCTTGGTCATACCCTGGGTCTGTTCCTTTAAGGTCATCGACAGTATGTTCCCAGTGGGACATAAGAAACTAGGAGTTTCTGGACTTGATGCTGCTTCCTACTGAAGTCAATGGGTACCCATAACTATATCTTAACTTCTAGGAATCATAAAGCAAGACCCTAAACTACCAGTGGATAAAATTTTGCCTCCACCTTCTCCCTGGCCCAAGAGCTCTATCTTCGATGCCGATGAAGAAAAGTCCAAGGTAAGGAGCCCCTCTCTGACCTTGGTGGCAGCAGACCCCTTCTTTTAGGGATTTTCCTGAAATATCCCCTGGGATGTGCTCTGATCCCTGAACCAAAGTTGGGGGGATGTGAGGAGGTGGGTTAGTGAGTTCTCTCTGGAGCAGGCTCTTAGAGTGGTAGCATAAGGTCTGGATGTTTTCTCTATGGATGGGCCAAATAGTAAATGCCATGTTAATGTACCCTCTACCTTATCTGTATGAGCATTCCGGAGGGAAGAAAGGTACAAGAGGATAACCCAAGTGGGCAAGGTGGATGGTGGGTTGTATTCAGTGTATGTGTGGTATTGGAGGAAGATGGTGGAAAGAATTGGTTGTGTGTTCACGCAGATTTTTTCTTTAGTGCCAGTAAGCCTGATCCTACCCATCTTCCTTCTGCTACTATCTCCAATAATTGTTGCTCCTCAGACATCAGGAAGGACAGGGATGAAGAACTGGGGATAGCTTTAGAGTGCCTCTGCATGGGGAGAGGGCCCTTGAGCACTGGTGGTGGCCGTGTGTTTGGACATTACCATTCTTAGTCACTGACAGGGTCTGAGAAATGAGTACCAGGGAAGCTCCAAAAAGTGTAGTGACAGAGGCTTGGGGACCCTCTGCCTCTAACTGCACCCCTGAGCTGCACCCTTCCTTGGACCTAGAGGTTCAGTGGCCATGGGGTCAGAACAAGCAGGATTGTTAGGTTCTGGGCTGTCTTTCCCTCTGGTTCCTCTCCTGCCAGTGCCTTTCAGAGGCAGAGGGTAGGAAGAGGAGGGATGGCACGGCCTTTGGAGAAAGAGAGAATCCTGTGTCACCTGGGGCAAGCTACTGAGATGCTCTGGGCTTCAGTATAGCCTTTACTCCATCAGTGAAGACTGAGTGACTCCCACAGGCATGGCATTCTGCTAGATCACTGAGGTGTATCAGAGGGTGCCTGGCCCAGGACAACCTCAGCATTAGTGACATTTTGGGCCAGATAATTTTCCTGCTGGGGGCTGTCCTGTTGAGAGTAGGGAGTTTACAGTATTCCGGCCTCTACCTGCTGGATGCCAGTAGCACTCCAGTTGTGACAATCAGAAAGGTCTCCAGTCTTTGCCAGATGTCTCTGGGGGGCTGTCTCTTCTACCTTCCTACCCTGTCGAAACCCAGGGGTCTGTGGGGAGAGTCCTAATACCTCCATGGCCTCACTGTGAGGACTTGGTAAGAGGATGCGTGGAAAGTCCGCATTCTGTTGTTGTGGCTGCTGCTCTGGGCCATCTGACACTGGGGGGGGGGGGGCGTCTCACCGGCTCTTGTTCACCCTGCAGCTTCTGACGAGGCTTCTGAAGAGCAACCACCCGGAGGATCTTCAGGCTGCAAACAGGCTGATCAAGAACTTGGTCAAGGAGGTGGGCGTTTTCCACGGGGCTCCGCAGAAGCAGCATTTGACACCACTGTGTGCGCTGGGGGGAGTGGGTGTACAGTTGGCCGGGGAGAGTGGTGTCCTCTGGGCCCAGAAGGGGGACACAGCTGCGGGTTCCCTGAAGGTCAGCAGGACGGTGAGGGGAAGCAGAAATCCTGCTGTGCACTTTCCAAGTACTTCTGTGCGAGAGCCCCAGGCATGTCATGGACCCCAGTGTCTGTCCCAGTGACAGAGTCCAGTTTGGGAATCTGGTCCCTGGACTGCATTGCCTTTTGCAGGAATTCTGGGCTCCGCGTTTTCTTCGCCACTGAGTGAACACTCCCACCCACTTGGTGTTCTAGTGACTTCCCTGAGCTTGCCAGCTCAGTGCCTCTTTCCCGTCCCTCATTCATGCATTATCCAGGCCTTTGCTCCTCACCTCCATCCTCTTTCTTCTAAAAGGAGCAAGAGAAATCCGAGAAGGTGTCAAAGAGAGTCAGTGCTGTGGAGGAGGTACGGAGCCACGTGAAGGTACTGCAGGAAATGCTGAGCGTGTACCGCCGGCCCGGGCAGGCCCTGCCGGACCAGGAGGCCTTGCAGGTACTGGTTTTACAAAATCAATTCAAGTAGAATTGAGTGTAACTGACACATTAGAAATTGCACGTATTTCAAGCATATTCGATGTGTTTTGACATGTGTGTGTCAATGAAGCCATCATCACAATCAAGATAGTAAACATGTCCCTTGCCCTCCAGAATTTCCTCATTCCCCCGGGTTAGCCCTCCCCTCCTTTCGTGGGTCCACATCCTCTAAGCAACCATTGCCTTGCTGCGTGATCTGATTAGTTTATACTTCCTAGACTTGTATGAAAGGAACAATAGTTTTTTCTTTCCTTCTTCCTCTTTTTATCTTTCTGGCTTCTCCCTCTAGCTTCTCCCTCTTGGCATAACGGAGATCCATTCATGGCGTGTATATCAGTAGTTTGCTTTTTATTGTTGAGTGGTATTCTATTGTGTGCATTACAATATATCCATCTTTTGATAGATAATGGGTTGTTTCCAGCTTTGGGTGATTGTGAATTAAACTGCTATAAACAATTGTGTACAGGATTTTGTGTGAACATGCATCTTTCTCGGGTATACACTTAGGTTTGGGATGGCTGTGTCACATACTAAGTGTATAGTTAACTTCGGAAAATAGTTGGCTGGTTTCTTAAAAAGCGGTTGTGTCATTTTATGTACCTAACAGCATTACACAAATTCCAGTTCCCCCACAGCCTACACGTCTCCATCTTTTTATTTTTAACACCTTTAGTGTGAATTTACTTATCCTAAAAGCAGCCATTAGCACTAGCTAGAAGAATTTAATCAGCCCTAAAAGAAGTCCTGTGCCCAATTAGCACACATCTGTACCACTCCCCTCAGCCCCCCATTCCCCACCCCCCCACCTCAGCGGCTCCTGGCAACCACTGATCCATGGTCTGTGTCTGTAGATCTTCCTCTTTGGACATTTTGTATAAATTGAATCCTACAACATGCCTTGAGTCTGGCTGCGTTTACTTAACGTGTGGAAGAGTTCTCCACCTTGTAGTGTGTATCAAAACTTCATTCCTTTTTCTGGCCGGGTAACCTTCCACCGTATGGCTGCCTCACGTTTTGTTTGTCGGTTCCATCAGTTGGGCATCTGGTCTTCCACTCGGCTATTATGAGTGATGTTGTGAACATCTGTTAACCAGTTTCCTGTGTGTGCAGTGTAAGCTTTTGATTTTCTTCAGTATGGATCTGTGTCTGCAGCTGGAGTTGCTGGATCATCTAGTGGGTCCGTTTAAGTGTCTGAGCAGGTACCAAGCTGTGTGCCAAACCACTGTGCCAGTTATAATCCCACCAGCAAGATGGGGAGGGCGCAGTTTTCCGGATCCTGCCAGCACTTGTTACTGCCTGTCTTTTGGTAATAGCTCTCCTGGTGGGTGTAAAGTGGGATCTCACTGTGCTTTTGAAATGTATTTCCGTGGCGACTTAAGCTGAGCTTTCTTTCCTAGGTCTCTTGGCCGCTTGTGTAACCTCTTGCTGAAGATCCTTTGCCCAATTTTTAATTGGGTTGTCTCTTAACTTTTGAGTTGTTAGGGTTCTTTATATATCCTGGATACCAGTCCTTTGTTGGACTTTCTCCTTTAATCTGGGAGTTCGATCTGTGTATTGTCTTTTGTCGCTGGGGCTGTCGGTGTCCTAGCCGCGCCACCACCGCCCAGTGCAGACAGATGGTGGTGGGACTGGAGTGCTGTCAGAGGCAGCCGCTCGGAGTCTGTCCTTGCAGCTCTGCTCTTCTCCCTCCTTCCACCAGCTACATTTGTCTTCTCCGTCTGCATTCCAGCTTTTTGTGCTTCTCTGCACAGGAAAGATGGCTTTTACGTAGCTCCTTAGTTTCCCTGTCCTTCCATTTCACAGAGTTAGCAAAACAAACTAGTAGCTTTCCTAAGTCCAGATTCCTGAGAGAACAATCTGTTTGTCCAGCAAGGAGTCGTCGGGAAGGCTGGCATGCTGGGCTTCTAAATAGCACAGCTTTCCCCACCCAAGATGGTAACGAGCTAGGAGACAGGAGAGACATGGCACGAAACAAAACTTCTTCCTTGTAATGGGCAGAGCCTACTTTGGAATAAGCGACACGTAAATATTAGCTAGTGGCTTCCTAATACTGAAGCGGAATCAGGCAGGTTTACCTACTGCTCAGATAGCACTGGCTCACCGCTCTTCTCCCCACAAGGGGCTTCCTTCTCTAAAACGTAGGGCTGGTGGGAGCGGAGCCGAATGTGCGCTTGCGTACAGGCAGGGAGCTCTCAAGAGCAAAGTGGCAGCAAGGGGAGTCCTTCCTGCTTCCTCCTGCCGCTTCCCGACAGCGCAGGGGAGAGAAGAATGAGGCACCAACAAATCAGCTTCAAGACCAAGGGAGCAGGGGCCAGCAGTTGAGAAGACTGTTTTCCCGAGCAACCCCTCAGTCCAGTATTTGTTAGATAAAGATAACAATCAACAAAAGAGTCGAAGGAGATTATAGATAAGCAAGATATGCCTGATCAAGCAGTATAGGATTTGTGGTTGAGTAAACACATTTAAAGGGATCATCTAATTAACCTCAGGTAATCTCTGGAGAAGGGGAGGTAACAGAAAAAAGAAGAGGCCACCGTCCACCCTGCATCCCCAACTGCTCAGCTTCAAGAACGTGTGTCATGTATTGTCCTCTCCCCCAGAGGAGGATACTGCTGCTAGTACATGTTTAAGCATGTTTGGTCAGTATGTTCTTATAAGGGACAGTCACACCTCTCCCGGACTCCCCTAGCAGATAGGTCATTTCACCAGCCCTGGGGAAGGGAGCAGGGAGCACTACCATCAGGGAGGACTGCAGTGTTAAGTTAGTTGGGTTCCTTTGAAAGGAAGTCTAACATGCACAGAAGCCAATGTCCTCCTCAACGCCGAGCATGTGGAGGGTGACGCTGTCCAGAGCACTCCCCTGCGATCAGGAGAGTGAGACTTCTCAGATGTTGTTGTTGCGGACTGAGGTTTATTCCTGGGAAAACCTGCAGTGGGAATCAAGGAGTGTTGTTGGAAAAGGAAGACTGGCATCAGACAACAGTTGGATGGGGAGTTTGGATGTTAGTTTTATTATTTTTTTTAAAAGATTTTATTTATGTGACAGAGACACAGTGAGACAGGGAACACAAGCAGGGGGACTGGGAGAGGGAGAAGCAGGCCTCCTGTGGAGCAGGGAGCCTGATGTGGAGCTTGATTCCAGGACCCCGGGATCATGACCTGAGCCAGAGGCAGACGTTTAATGACTGAGCCACCCAGGTGCCCTCTGGATGTTAGTTTTAAAGCGGAGTAATCTCTTCAGAGTTCTATGTGGGGTTATCCCATTATTAAAGCTCTTTTAGGAGGCAAGGAAAGGAGCTTGGAGAAGAGCTAATACCGTACGTGCTCAGAATGTAGATTCTTAGGCCTCTGTCATCTCTTTAACTATTTTAAACATTCAGATAACTGTAGCCCAAACTTTTTCTGACACTGTAACAGCCGTGTCATTTCAAGCCTGCAGTCATGCATTTGGGACGGACTAAGGAGAATTCCAGAAGCCCTAGACTCTGCTGTATGCTTATTGGAGGCACCTGGGGCCTTGCCATGAAACCAGGCTGTTTTCTCAGGTCGTGTATGAGCGCTGTGAGAAGCTGCGGCCCACGCTATTCCGGCTGGCGAGTGATACCACGGACGATGACGACGCGCTCGGTAAGGCAGCTCTCCTTCTCTAGGTGCAGCTGGGACAATGGAGGGCAGAACACACGTGCCCCTTCCTGCTGAGCTGCGGTGGTGCCAGAGACCAGACAGAATGGCTTTAGGTTCTGTGGCCGCTGGCCTTCCGAAGGGCTTGCCCCGTGTTGGCTTAGAACTGATTTCCAGGATGCTCGAGGCCTGAGCGAGCAATCATCAGCAGGTCTGAAAGCATAGAGAAGGGTGGGAATGTGCGGTGAAGGTTGGGTGCAAGGGAGACGCTAGAAGGAAGATTAACAGAAGTCTGAGGAACGGCTGCATCTCGAAGGTTTCACCAACCTGAGTGCCGCTGGGGCTGGGTCACCAACCTAAATGAGGCAGGCTGAGGAGGAACGGAGGGGATAATGGTAGGGACTGTGGAGAATGTTAATACCTGTGGACAGGGATTAAAATATTTTATACTTTTTGTTACGGAAAATTTCAGGACATGTGCAGGGAGATAGTGGGATAAATCCTGTGTGCCCTTCACCTGTGGGTAACAGCCACCAGCTAGCACATGACCCATCTTTTTTCCTCTTGTTGCATATGTACTGCTCTACCCCCATCGCTCATTCTCTCTGAAGCAAATTCCAAATGTTTTAAGGTAATCAAATAGTGTTAAGATTTCCCTGGGCATTTCTCTCTAAACATTTCGTGCTAACCCTCCCGCCTCCTTCTCCCTCCCTTTTTTTTAAAGTTCTGAATCACTCAGAAAAGCCATACTTTACAGTGCTATTTTGTAAGCCCTTTTTTAACGGATAGCCCCTCTATTCTTTTTCTTTGTTATTAGATGAAAAGCATGCCCCCCTTTTTTCTTCTTATTAACATATAATGTAATATTTGTTTCATGGGTACAGGTCTGTGAATCATCAGTCTTACACAATTCACAGCACTCACCCTAGCACATACCCACCTCAATGTCCATTACCCAGCCACCCTGTTCTTATCACTGCCCTCCCCTCCAGCAACTCTCAGTTTGTTTTGTGAGACTAAGAGTCTCTTATGGTTTGTCTCCTCCCCAGTCCCATCTAGTTCATTTTTCCCTCCCTTCCAACCACAACCCCCCCCTCTCAAATTCCTCATATCAGAGAGATCATATGATAATTGTCTTTCTCTGATTAACTTATTTCACTTAGCATAATATCCTCTAGTTCCATCCACATCATTGCAAATGGCAAGATTTCATGGTTGTTTTTTTTTTTTCTTTTGGATGGGTGCCTAATATTCCATTGTGTGTGTGTGTGTGTGTGTGTGTGTGTGTGTGTGTGTGTACACACCACATCTTTATCCAGTCATCTGTTAATGGACATCTAGGTTCTTTCCCTAGTTTGGCTATTGTGGACATTGCTGCTATAAACATTCAGGTGCACATGCCCCTTCGGATCACTACATTTGTATCTTTAGTGTAAATACCCAGTAGTGCGATTGCTGGGTTGTAGGGTAGTTCTATTTTCAGCTTTTTGAGGAACCTCCATACTGTTCTCCAGAGTGGCTGCACCAGCTTGCATTCCCACCAACAACGCAGGAGGGCTCCCCTTTTTCCTCATCCCCACCAGCATCTGTCATTTCCTGACTAGTTAATTTTAGCCATTCTAACTGGTGTGACGTGGTGTTTAACTGTGGTTTTGATTTGTATTTCCCTGATGCCAAGTGATGTTGAGGACTTTTTCATGTGTCTGTTGGCCATTTGGATGTCTTCTTTGCAGAAATATCTGTTCATGTCTTCTGCGCATTTCTTTATTGGATTATTTGTTCTTTGGGTGTTGAGTTTGATAAGTTCTTTATAGATTTTGGATACTAGCCCTTTATCTGATATGTTATTTGCAAATATCTTCCATTCTGTCAGTTGTCATTTGGTTTTGACTGGAAAAACATGCCCTTTGACCTACAAAGTTTCTCTAGGCCTCAATGTTCTGATGGCATGCCCCATGGTATTTAATGTTTTTCCATATCTGACCCTTCTTACAAATTGCTGATATTTCTTATAAATTGGATCGGGGGCTTGATCGGATTCAGGATCAGTTAGAACAGGGATTGGGGAAGCAAGAACATTTCGTGGGTAGTGGTCAAGAGGCCCCTGGTTTCTGATGATCTCTTCATGATTATGGTCTGAACCCATCATTTTCTCTGATTGCAGTGAGCTCAAAAGCAATCAAATTTTTAAGCAACTTGCCTGTGCCAACTAAAACATTTTGCTGGGTGAATTCACCCCCATGTTGTAGTTTATGTCCACAGTTAAGAAAATTGGCAGGAGCCAATTTCACAAAAGCTTATGAAGTTTTTGGAATCCAGTGTGTATTTTATATTTAGATGACATTTTAATTTGGATGCCAAGTTTTCATCAGAAGTACTTGATCTATATTTAGATTTTAGAAATTACAGGTAAAAACATACATTCATGTTTATTCCCTACACACTTAAAAGCTTTCTAATAAGTGAATAAAGTACCAAAAAAAATCTCTTTTTAAAAATTTTTGGAAGATTTTATTTATTTGAGAACACAAGCAGGCATGGTGGTGGGAGACAGAGGGAGAAGCAGACTCCCCTTTGAGCAAGGAGCATGACGTGGGGCTCAATCCCCGGACTCCAGGATCATATCCTGAGCCAAAGGCAGCTGCTTAACCAACTGAGCCACCCAGGTGCCGCCCCCTGAAAAACTCTTAATATTCACATTCACATTGACAAAACTGTTTTTAAGTTAATTAAATATTAAAGTTTTAGCTTCTTAGTTGAAATAGCCATGTTTTAAGTGTTGATCCTTGTGTTGGAAGGTATTGAGAACGAAGGCGAAGAAATTTGGTTTCTCCTGCATCTTGAACGAGAGGTGTTGGGGTTCAGGGACTGAATAACTAGGTCTGCTAGGGTCCTGATCACATGATTTGGCAGCAGGAGGCATGGATATACTGATCCTGGTAGAGCTGTGTGGCCGCTACTTTCTGGAATGACTTTAAAAAGACTGAGATTATTGGTGGATAACTAAGGGGGTGTTCTCATTTTCTCCTTCTCCTTCAGCGGAGATTCTCCAGGCAAATGACCTCCTCACCCAGGGAGTTCTCCTGTACAAACAGGTGATGGAGGGCCGAGTCATCTTTGGGAACACAGTGACCAGCTCAGTGGGAGACCTAGCTGTCTCCAGAGGTATGTGCAAAAAAGCCTCTCTTACCTTCTGCCTGGACATCCTGCAAATCCCGGAGAAGAAATGGATCCTTAGAATATTCTGGGTTGTGGTGTGGAAATGAGAGGCCTTGCCCTTTTTTCCCCTTCCCTTCGAGAGTTGGTTTTATGTAGCCAGCCTCTGCCACATGTGCCATCACGAACTGATGGGCAGGCTGGAGCCCGCCTCTGGCTCTCCACAGGAGCACATGGCTATTTTGCACCCAGGTTTTAATTCCTCTTCTCACGAATGCTTACTTAGAAGAGCAAGAGACCAAAAAAAAAAAAAAAAAAAAAAGATCTGTGTTGGTGGTGCCTAGCAGGCTAGCTACATCAGAATCATCTGGAATACTGGCTAAAACGCAGATTCTTAGGTCCGCAGCTTGGAGCTTCTGTATCAATACTCCTTAGCGCGTGGCCTGGAGATTTGTGTTTTTATCAAGCACTCCAGTGATTGTGATGAGCTGTTCTTAAAAGGCCTGTGAGGCGGAGACGTCAGCTGTGTTGCTGGCCAGGTTGATTGGACGCCTAGCAGAGGACACCGATTGCTGGGGTAGGAAGGCAGTCCTCTGGCTGCGTCCTGTCCTGTTCCAGATGTTGGCGCAGGCTATCCACCAGGGGGGGCACTGAGGGGCGGTGTGATGTCTTCTGTTTGGGAGGAGGCCTCTGGGAAGCGGACGGGCATTCAGTGGGGACTTTGCGCGCATCCTGACGTATTTTCCTGACTCTTGTGTAGTCTTTCAGAAACCCGCAGGCTGCACGAAGAGCTGCGCTCTGATTGACTTGGAGGTGGACAGTGGATCTGAGCAGGCCGGGACTGTGGCACCGTCCTTGCTTCACCAGGACCTGGCAGCCTTAGGTGAGGGAGGGTGTTTACGGGGAGCAGGCACAGAATGGCCCTGACTCCCAGGGAAAGCGAGTAAGCTGGTTCTGCTTGGGGAGACTATGCCTGTTTTCAGAGGGAGCTGGGTATACAGTAGCCCCCTCGTCCGTGGTTTCAGTGACTTGCGGTCTGAAAGCAGATGAGCCTCCTTCTGACCTATGGTCAGAAGGTCAGTAGTAGCCTAAGGGCTGCGTCCCATGCCTACGTCGTTCACCTCACTTCATCTCATCACGTAGGCATTTTATCATCTCCCACCACAAGAAGACAAAGGGTGAGTACAGTATAATATATTTTGAGAGCGAGACCACATTCACATAACTCTTCCTGCAGTATATTATTTTTATTATCTGTTACAGTGTCTAACTTATAAAGTAAACTTAATCATAGACATGTATGTGTGGGGAAAAACATAGCATATGGAGGGATAGCTACTATCTGCCTCTGCAGGCATCTACCGGGGGCTTAGAACATATCCCCTAATGAATAAGGGGGCACTGCCATCCTGGGAGGTCCTCATCGCATTTAGTCTCAGATTTGCCATGGATGACTTGAATGATTTTGGGTAATTTGCTTTGCCCAGGCTTTCTAAATGTTCTAGAAAGGGTGAACATGATATCAATCTCTAGCTCCTGTCAGGTAGAGTTACTGGTGCGCATCTTTCTGTTTCTTCCTTCTAGGACTCAGTGATGCTCCGGTTACCACCAAGGTAAGGAAGCTCTTCCTAGGGGCTGGAAAAGAGGTCCCTCAAACCTACGTTCATGAGGGCAGCACTGCCTGGGTAGTGAGGGGAGGGGCCCCAGCATAGCCTGGTGGCGACTAGACTTGGAGGTCCAGAGCCTCTTCCTTACTGTTACTGTCTGGCTTCAACCCCCAGAGAGACACATTTTTCCCTCTCCTTATACTCCTATCCTCTTCAGTGGTATCCAGGCTCCTGCTTACTGAATGTCAGATCAGGAGTCTTGTGTTCTCTGGCTCTTTTTCTCCTCCTGTCCCAGGAAATGCAGTAAGCCTGTGTCCTGGTGTCACCATGGCTCCTGGTCATTCATACCCTGGCCTTATTTTAGGCATTCCTGGTTTGACAGGTTGCTGGTCAGAATTGCTGTAAGGAAAAGAAGAATCCCCCCGCCAGCATGCTGCCCGGTGGTGGTGTTCAGAGCCCTTCTGCAGAAAGGAACTTGCTGGATCTCCTCTCCCCACAGCCATGTCCAGGGCCTCTGTGAGTCTTGTGGGCAAGGAACTTAGAAGAGGGGCTCCCGTGCGTGTGCTTCCTGCTCATCGTGTGGGGGGCAGGCTGACGGGCCATGTTAGTGTACGGTAACACGGGGCACGCTTGGAGATAGCCAGAGACCTCTCTCCCTGGGCAGGCTTCTTCTTTCCTACCCAAGGTTCTAGGTGTGCTTCCCCTTTTCTCCTTTGACTCCCTATCCCAAGTCAGACCAAAAAAACATGCTTTGGTTAAGACCTCTGCAAAAAGGGGTTGCTTTAACTAGTAGCAGCAGTAGGTGATGGTTTTGGTGTTCACAGGCCTTTTTTTTTTTTATTACAATGAAGTTAAGCAAAATTTGATCACTAGAGAACTAGATAACATAGAAAGGCCCAATTATCACTCTCTAAAGATAATGTCGAATGTTCCTTCTTTGCTTTTCTCTCTGTGTGATGGGTTATGTTGTTTATTTTTTTATACACATGGGATTATCATTTACAAACTGTTCCCCAGTGTGGTTTTTCCATATCGCATCTTTGATACATGTCCATGTCAGTTTCTATAAATTTGTCGCATTCTGGTGGTCGTATAATAATCCACGTGCACATAATACTCATATATTTAGTCACTGCCCTCTTGTGGGTGTTTAAATACCTTTCAGTTCAGAGGCACTTGGAGCGTCATTACAGTGCAGATTCCTAGAGGTAGAAGCGCTCCAGTGTGTGAATCTAAATATGTGAACGTAGATCCTGCTGCTTTGCCTCTGGAAGGCTGGGGCGGTGTGCCTTCCCGTAGACAGCCTGAGCACCTCCGTGTCTGTGGTAGAGACACGGCCCTGGCGGACAGGAAGACGCGCTGGGACGTCATTCTTGTTTGCACTCAGAGGGGGATGTCTTTCCATTTTCTCCTTCTAACCACTCACCTGGGGGCTGGTAATCTTCCAGATCGGTGTGGGTTATTCTGCACTGTAGTTTCAGTTTGTATTGAAAATGTCTTTGGAGTGCCTGGGTGGCCCAGTCCATTAAGCATCTGATTCTTGATCTCAGCTCAGGTTTTGATCTGAGGGTCATGAGTTCGAGCCCTGAGTTGGGCTCCTTGCTGGGCGTGGAGCCTACTTACAAAATGTTCTCAATTTACATTCCAAATGGACAAAATCATGAAATGTGAATGACATGGTCTGTGTAGTGGTGTTATCATTCCTTCCTAACTTCCTAGCATCTTCCTATCATCTTCCTAACTTCCTTCCTATATGGGAAATTTAACCTGAGCAAGATGTCAGAGGCTGCCTGGCAACTACAACCCTCATTCCTTTAGTAATAGCTCTAGTTTACTGGGTCCTTAGGTGTGCACAGTCCCTGCAATGCTTCTCATATATTTTCTCATTTAATTCTAATAACCCCATGAGGTAGATGCTATATGATTTCCATTTTACAGATGAGAAAACTGAGGCACAGGTGAAATTACCCGTCTAAAGTCTTACCCCTTTAAAATACACGCACATATATGTATTTCTTTTTCTCTTTATTACCTAACTCTTCAGAAAGCCTAATCAGATTCCTGGAATTGTGTATTATTTTTGCTAGTGTTGATATTTTTTTCATTTCTTTGCAGGAATTATGTTCCACAGAAGAGCATTCCTAAGGAAGTGCCCCCTGGCACTAAGTCCTCTCCAGGTTGGTCCTGGGAAGCTGGGCCATTGGCTTCTTCCCCATCCACCCAGAATACACCGCTGGCTCAAGTGTTTGTCCCTTTGGAGTCTGTTAAGCCCAGTAAGTACAGTTTTACCTTCACCACCCCCTACCCTTGCTATTAAATACCCAGCTTTATCTGCTCTGGACTGGTAGGGGGTGGCTCTTAAATTGGGGAAGGTGAGTGCTAGAGATTTTGCCTGGGGGCAGAGGGTAAGGAGGTGGCTTCACAGTCTCTTAACCTACTATTTTTCATAAAGTTTTCTGGCTTGGGGTTGACACTAAAGGTGAAGGATATTGGCAGGCAGACTTTAATTAGGGGACTCGAGTCTTTTTAGACATGATGCTCACTCATTTGAAATTGAAGGGAATATCCAGTGCGGCAGAAATAACTCTGAAGAGGTGTAGATGGAAATAACTCTGAAGAGGTGGGATTAGGTGGAAAGGAAGAACTTGGCTAGTGGCCGTCTCCCATGGGGGGTCCTCAGTGCAGGAGAGCAGAGGTTCCCTCCTTACGAAGGAGGGAAGATGACTGCATGTGGTCGGCACACCGGCATGGGAGCAGGACACACCCAAGGTGCTTAGATGTACGGTACAGGCCCTTTTCTCTGGGCACACAGCTCACCTGTGTCTCTGTGTGCTGATGTCACATCTGGAACCAGGCTGAGGAATTAAATAGTCAGTATGCAGTAGGAGCCGTTTGTGATACTTACTTGACCTTAAAAATAACACCTGTCCAGTGTTAATTTCCTGGTTTTGATCATTGTCCTGTGTTACGTAATGTTAATATTTGTACAAATGTAAACATTTGAGGAAGCTGGGTGAAGGGTGTATGGGAGTTGTGTTTTTGTAACATTTTATAAATCTGAAATTATTACAAAAGTACAAAAGTGAAAAAACACATTTAACGTAGAAATTTTATTTTTAAAGATCTTATTCATTTGAGGGAAGGAGGGAGGGAAAGAGCAGGGCCAGAGGGAAAAGGGGAGAGAGAATCTCAAGCAGACCCCACGCTCAGCACAGGGCCTGATGCTAGTCTTGACCCCAGGACCCCGAGATCATGACCTGAGCCAAAATCAGGAGTTGGACACTTAACTGACTGAGTCACCTAGTTGCCCCTCAAAGTAGAAATTTTAGAAAAAACAGAGCAGAAAATTAAGATCATCTATATTGGTCACCCAGAGATGGAAGTTCTATTAATGTCTTAATGTGTTTTCTTGCTTAGTCATGTATATATATACTTTTTTAATAAATTCGCACTGCAGTATATTTAGAATGTTTTACAGCCGGCTTTACTTTTATAAGCCATAGCATTTTTTCATGCCGTGAATTATTCTTCAAAACCTTTACTTTTTAGGGCGCCTGGGTGGCTCAGTGGGTTAAAGCTTCTGCCTTCAGCTCAGGTCATGATCCCAGAGTCCTGGGATCGAGCCCCGCATCGGGCTCTCTGCTCAGCAGGGAGCCTGCTTCCTCCTCTCTCTCTCTGCCTGCCTCTCTGCCTACTTGTGATTTCTGTCTGTCAAATAAATAAATAAAATCTTTAAAAAAAAAAATAAATAAATAATAATAAAAAATAAAAATAAAAAAAACCTTTACTTTTTAAATGTCTCCATACATCTATAATCATGGTACTGTCATTCATTTATTCAATTCCTTTCTTCATTTAAAATTTTTTTAATTAAAAACAATTTTTTGGAGTGAGAGCACATGTGCTTGAGTGGTGAGGGACACAAGGAGAAGGAAAGAGAGACTGTTAAGCTCTATGCTCATCATGGAGCCGGGCTCGATCTCATGACCCCAAGATTGCGACTTGAGCTGAAATCAAGTCACTTAACTGACTGAGTCACCCGGGTGCCTGAATTCAGTTCGTTTCTGAAGGATAATTTGTTTCTAGTTGTTTGCTGTTAAAACTGCTATGCTGAACATCTCTGGACACTTCTGTGTTTAAACATTCTTGATTATTTCATCAGGATATATTCTTAGAAGTGCTGGGTGTAGATATTTGAAATTTTGATCTGCATTAGCAAGATCCCTTCACAAAGGTCGCCTCTTTCCCCATATCCTCACCACCATTCCTCAGGAGTTTTCAGACTTTGACATCTTTGTCAGTTTCACTGTTAAACCATTGAACGTACACTTTGTTGGTATCAGTGTTAAACTACTGAATGTACACTTTGGTAAGAGATTTTTGGCATCATCGAAGGATCTTCATTAGAAATTTTTCCCCAAATTATGTAGTTGTCTGCCACTTACTGAGTCAGCCACTGATTTTGAAGTAGATGTTCTAGAATTCTCCCATTAGGTCTATTCTGCATGCTTGGTTTTCTACTTCACTCAGTTGTGTACTTACGAGTATCTATTGATGCAAGTAGCCCTTCATCTCTTGTAAATGGACAAGTCTTATACCACCCCCCCCATACCCTATTTTCCTTAGCCCATTGGAATGTCATTAAACCTATTGACTTGAAGAGATCAGTGTCTTTATTGTTTTGTAAAATTAAATGCGAGAGATGTGTGTGCATGTAGTCATAGAAAAGAGACCAGAAGGAAATAGGCCCAAATGTTAGCAATACTTTTATTTCTGCATAGAATTAATGGTGTCTTTTATTTCATTCTTTATGAGATCCTGTATTTTCTGTAATGTTCATAGTATTTGAGTCCTAATCCTGTCTCCCTTAAAGTTCCTTTTTTTTTTTAAACTGGTAATATTCTGGGGTGTCTGGGTGGTTCAGTTGGTTAAGCATTTGCCTTCAGCTCAGGTCATGTGATCTCAGGGGTCCTGGGATTGAGCCCAGAGCTGGCTCTGCTCAGCGGAGAGTCTGTTTCTCCTTCTCCCTCTGCCCTCCCCCTCCCCCCTCCCTGGCTTGTGCCATCTCTCTCTTGCTCTCGCTCTATCTCATATAAATAAATAAAATCTTTAAAACAAAACAACTGGTGATGTGCTTTGGGTGGTTGGATGGTGGGGAGCGATCAGTTTGAGGGGCCCCAGGAGTCCAGCTTGGAAGTAGTTAGAGCTAGATCATGGCAGCACCGAAAGCTTGGTTCCGAGGAGGTTAGTCCAGGAGCTGTGCTGACTGGAGAAGCAGCGGCAGCAGCGGGTGATAACGTGCACATCTTTCAGGCATGGCTGTTGGCAGCCTTGTGGTCGTGCTAACCCTTTTGCTTGGGTCCTTCTCCACCAGGCAGCCTGCCGCCTCTTATCGTGTATGACAGGAATGGATTCCGAATTCTGCTCCACTTTTCCCAGACGGGGGCGCCTGGCCACCCGGAGGTGCAGGTGTTGCTGTTGACCATGATGAGCACTGCCACCCAGCCTGTCTGGGACATCATGTTTCAAGTGGCTGTGCCAAAGGTGAGCCATCTGCTGGCCAGCGCCCTAACCTAGGACATGATCTTTGAATTAGGTATCAGAGACAAAATCCTCAAAGGAGTTTAAGATCAAATGGGAATTTTATTGGCTTGTTGAACTAGGGATTTCTGAATATCTGACTTTAGATGTGACCGAATCCAGATAAGTTCTTAAAATGATTGCTTGTCTCTTTCCACCTCTTGACTTCGCTTTCTTCTGTGGAGCCTGTTCTCCAGCAGACTCCAAAGAGCATGGAAATGGCTACCAGCAGCCCCAGAATTACATAATCCTTTCCCTCCTGAACCCTTTTTATCACAGAGGGAAACTTCCATCTGGCACGAGGCATGCATAGTGATTACCTAAGAAAGGGATAGGTTTGCCCCTTTGGCATTACTTGGGTATCTGGGACCATACCTTGTGTTCAGGGATAATGAGATACTCTGACCAGTGTAGACATGACATCCATTCCTCTTCAAGAGAAGTAGAGCCCCACTGACTAACAGCCATACCAGCATCACAAAAGACAGGGAAAGGATGTCCTGAAAGGAAAGGTTCAAGGTAAGCAAAAGTAAAAATATGCATTCTCTCATCCTTGCGGTAGTCTTGTGGGACATGTGTTATTGTTATCTCTTATTTTATAAACTTCTAGTCCATGGGTTCAGAAAGGTTAAGTATTTGCCCAAGGTCCCAGAGCTAGTAAGAAGCAGAGCTCAACCCAGGGTATGCCCTAGCTCTTCATGCTGCCTCTTAGAAGCCAACCATTGACCACACAGCTTCGATTTATGGAAGGAAAGGACTTTGGGACCCTTTAATTATTTGGTGGGTGGAGGTCAAGTTTTCCTGTTTACCTTAACTCCCTCTTTGAAGCTGTACTTCATTAGGAACAAATTAGATACTGGATTTTTCTGCCCCCACCCCCACCCCCCATAGTCCATGAGAGTGAAGCTGCAGCCGGCATCCAGCTCCAAGCTCCCTGCCTTCAGTCCGCTGACGCCTCCAGCTGTGATCTCTCAGATGCTGTTGCTTGACAATCCACATAAAGTATGTTCTGGTAACTTTGATAGCAGGGGGATTGGTGGGGAGGCCATGGGCTGTAGGGAGGTAGCATGGTAGGTTGAAAGAGGTTTATTTAGGTCTTGCTCTAAAGTGTCTGGTTGGGAGTGGTGGTGGGATATTCTCTGCTGAGTGTCTGTTTTCTTCGGGGCTCGTTGGAGGAAGGTCTCTGACTGGGTTGCCATAGCTGGGAACCAAGAGTGACACAAATTCCCCCTAGGACCATGAGTCCTCTGAAAGGGTGAGGCCTGCCTGTCCTCCTCAGCTGGTCTGAGTTGTGGTCCACCTCAGGACTGCAGAGGCGGGGGAGTTCTCTCAGGATGCAGGGCTGGCTCCCCTTGTGTTTGTCGTCTCAGAGGGTGCTGGCCAGGTGTCCCTGTCATACAGTTGTTTCGGGGCCTTACTGACATGGAGTTAATGTGATATTGCTATTCTTTGGTGACTGCTGGGTGGGCAAAAACTCAGAGTGGGCTGGTCTATGTCTCTCCCCACTAATTTAATGTCTTCTGTCTTTGTGCAGGAGCCCATCCGGTTACGGTATAAGCTGACCTTCAACCAGGGTGGACAGCCTTTCAGCGAAGTAGGAGAAGTGAAAGACTTTCCAGATCTGGCAGTCTTGGGTGCCGCCTAACTTTTCATAAGACAGACCCCGCCATTCAAGCTTAGGCCAATGTGAATTTTGCTGTCTAGATAGGACTAATCATGGTGATGTAGTGCGGAGTGCCAACAGTTCTATCCTGACGTCAGGCTCTGGATCCCAACCTCTGACTTATTCTGCACATACTATTTGTGTGTGGGTGTGTGTGTGTGTGTGTTGTGGGGGATTTGGGGGAGGGGAGAGCAGGGGCTTGGGATGTGGACAGTGTGGGAAATGCTGAAGCATTTCTGACAACCATCTGCTACAATCATCTGTTTCTGCATGTTTGTGGACACGGATGTCCCCACCTCAGGTTGGAGGTTTTATAAGCCAAAGTTGTGTTGTGTTTTGTTTTTTTTCCACGTATTGTTCTCTTTTCATTCATCCACTCTGTGCCTTGTCAGCCTTTGAAAGTCTTGGTTGCTCCCAGGCTGCTGTTCTCAGGGACCTTAAAAGGGACCTGGTTGGTCTTGGGGCAGAGAGTACCTTCTGGGGCACTCTCTTCCAAGAAAGACCTTGTCTCCATTTCCATTAGAGAATGCTGCTTGCATGTGTTTGAGAAGATCTTCAGAATGGAATGCTCGTTGCACTGTTTGCAGGCGAGGGGCTGCCACTAGACCAGAGGACCACACTGGGTGGGCCAATCATGTCCTTCACCACTGTGCCTTAGAATCACCCAGAGAAGACCTTCCAGGGCAGAGAGGAAAGCAGGTCCCGGGCCTCATGCAGGCCGCGGGTTCCGTGGGTGGGGCAGCCCGTCTCGGCCCTTCCTCAGGACCCTCCTTTCCATTCTCATCCTCCTCCTCCACGAGCGTCTACTCTCAGAGCTCTTCGATGGTGACGCCATGCCAGTTGTTGTCAGTCATAACAGACAGGCTCGCCGTTGCCTGTCTTCACCATCCAGCATGGAGAACTGTGACACAAATAGATATGGAAAGAGCTTAGCAGTGATTTCAGTGGTGAATATAGAAAGTCCTTGAATAAATACCATGTAGCAAATACGCTTTGTGGAGTCTTGTGAGTAGGAGACGCAGAGCCTGTTGCATTTGGAGGCGCCAAGCCTGAAGGGCCCTGTTGCCTATGGAGGAAGTAGGAAGACTTCTTGCTGTGGAACCTGAAGAGCGACTTCAGTGAAGGGAGAGGCCCTGCGGGTCCAAACAAAGCTGGAGGAGAGATGGATTGTTATGTGCGTGGTTTAAAGGGAAAACTTGGGTGCATCACCTGTTCTTACTGCGCGCCTGCTGTCTGCTAGGCATCTTCTACGGTCCTGCTTTGCTGGTCAGGGGGGAAGCGAGCTGATCCTTGCCGATAGGGCCTGATTAAGGACTTTGAAATCCGAGCCGTTCACCTGTTGAGGCACGATTCTACCTCAGGAACCACGAGACTCTGTTTGGGGCTCTTTATCACAAAATCTCATACTTTCCAGGTTGATCTTTGAACTTCTACGTACAGTTAGAATTCCACCAACATTAATTGGCAGGGATAGAGGCTGTAATAGATCATCTAGCTATGCTCATTTTTAAGCAAATGTGAAAACTCCTAAAACCGATGAGATGGGTGACTTATTCGTTTGGCATGACTCCCATAAGATTCATTTTATCTAAGCTTTCTTGCATGTTCAGGTGTTCTCTATAGCTTTTATGGGCTCTAGCTAATCTCATAAAGGTTTTAAGAGGAACCCGTCGTAATGATGATGCCTGCCTATGCAGAACTTCCATCAAGGTGGGTGAATGAGACTTAGAAGATTTTTACCCCCGGCTCAGTGGTGAACTTGTGTCTCAACCTTCTGTCTTCCAGGAGCCAGACTCCCAGCAGTGCTTTGGTGGAGTTGGACAGGGTAGGGATGTGTGTGTGTGTGTGTTGGGGGGGGGGTTCCTGAAAGTGGCCCTGGTGTTTGTCATCAGTGCCTTCTGATGATCAAGTTCAGCGGCTACTGAAGGCCTAACCGGTATCCTTCCCTTCCTTCCACAAGCAGTTGCAGAGCAGCTGCCAGGAGTTCCGTACTCTACTAGGCATTGCAGACACAACAGCAGAAGGTTCCTGCCCTCGTGGATCTTCTGTTCTAGTGCAGAGACAAATCCATGATGTTCTTGGTGGGGATGGTGCCGATGATCAGTATTTGTCCCCTATCCTGAATTCCTCCTCCAGGATTCTGCTCACCCCTGTCTCTTGACTTACCTTTGTGACTGTTTCTCTTCCTCTGTCCCTTATATGTGCTTTGCCCCAGGGTTTAGGATTCTTCTAAGCACATCTGGGCAGCTAACCCCTAGATGGGTCCTAGACCTCTGTCTCAAGCTTCTGCCTCCTTGCTGACATCAGATCCCTATTCATCAGTGTTTTTTTTGTAGGTTCACTCTTGTCTCAGGCTTGGAAAGCTTAGCATAGAACCCAGCCTCCTCCTCCTCTCGCCCCTTCCCCTTACATTTTCTTTTATTTGAAAGCACCTGTCCGAACCTTCATGGATTCTTGATTCCTGTTCCATTTAGAACCACTCAGTAGTTTTGTCTCCTTTAGTCTGTTTCTAAATATGACATCTTGCCCTCCCCTGCATTCACATGGTCACTGCCCTGGTTTGGGTTTTTTGGCTGGGGGAGGAGGGTCAGTGAGGCGGGGTGGTGCAGTTAGCTCCTTCTCAATTCTCTGAACTGTGAGACTTGCTGCCACCAGATTTATCTGGCAAATCGAGCCACTTGACCCCTTGCTGAGAAATCCTGAATGGCTTCCCAATGCCCTAAAAGTTGATATAATCCAATTGAGTGCTTAAGTATTCACTAACTTGGTGTGCTCCCTACTCTTCTGGCACCTGCCAAGATGAGCACTTTGCCACAGCCACAAGTACGTCCTTTCGTATTTTGACAATGCCATGTTTTTTCATGACGTTAGGAGGCAACTTCCTTTCCCTTTATCTCTTCAGTGAATTTAAGACTGGGCTAGAACCCTGCTTTATCTGTGAGTCACTGTGAGCATAAATAGGCTTTGGAGATGGTAAGTGTTGAAAACAGGGTAAATGATTTAATGACCAAAAGAACATGCACATTAGTTATTGAAAATGATATTTTCAGGGTGCCTGGGTGGCTCAGCGTCTGACTCTTGATCTCAGCTAAGGTCTTCATCTCAGGGTCGTGAGATCACAATGACTGTAAATTGAGAGACCAAACCTTCAGGATAGAAAGCAAAGGTGATATTCTAAAATACAAGTACTGCTTGATTACTACAGTGTTTACAAATCAAATTCTTCCTATCCAGTGTAGAAGATGCCGACCCAGCCCCAAAATATAAAGTTCTGTGAACTAGGTGTTTTGTTTTTTTTCTTTCGAAGAAAACAGTAGGAGAGTGTCCTGGAATGTCCATGGTTTTGGGGGGGTGGTGGTGGTGGTGGCTGTTTTAATAAAGATGTGACCTGGCATTTTCCATCTGTGAAGAGGTGAAGCCAGGTAGAACAAAGGAGACCTCAGGTGAGCTGAACCAAGCCTTTCGTTACATAGTTGAGGCACTTAGAGTCCAGAGTTCTCATGACATGTAATGTCAGCTCGAGTGAAAAATCCAGGCCTTTTTTCCCCCTTGCACAATGCATTCCCGATGACACCATGCTCCTTCTGAAGAAGCTTGCATTTTAAAAAGTGAACATTCTGTTCCTTCCAACTTTCATTCTTAAATACCTCATCCCACTTATAGAAGTAGCACTTTGATTTTAAAAGTTAAAATCGTGAAAGCATACTGCAGTGTCAGAGGCCCCGGATGCATAGGACATTAACGTCGGCCATCTTCTGAAGCCTCACACTGGAAACACTGAAATCCTTAAGTTCACCCTTAGTTCCAATTTGGCTCTTCGGTGGCATTGCTGCCTCCAAGAAGCCATGTGATCTTGGGTAAGTAATTTGCCTTCTTCAGATTCCTCCTCTGTGTAGTGAATAACATATTTTTTTGAGAATTAAAAGTTAATATATGTAAAGTGACTACAGTACTGCATGGCACTAAATTAGCTAAGACTTACTTCATTTACTGTCTGCTGTTAGCCTGTCCACCTGGTTTCCTTCCAGCACGTGAATGGAGTCAACTTGCCCATAACTATAAAGTTTGTCTCCTACAGTAAAAAGCAAATATTTAAAATTTTGGTGAGTCTCTAATACCAAGACACAGTAAACATCAAGGATAAAAAGATAACCAAAAGTTAATATTAATTGGAAACCAAAAGACTTCTTGCCATTTTGAAACACATCCCCAAGCCTCGTCAACGGATGAAGTCTGTAGCAGAACACATTCCCTGGAAGACATTCAGTTACTTCTGTGAACAGAGCTGTGCATTCTAGAATGTATGGCCCTGACATCAGGTCTGGAGCAGGCAGTGTGGTCTGCTCTTGTTTTTGCCGTACACGCGGCACACACTGCCGTACAGCCGGTGGCCTACTGAAAGAACACACCGTACAAACCACATCCGCTCAACCAGACTATTTGGTCATCTAACGGATGGAGAAAAAGTCCTTCTAGATTATTCATTGTTTAATCCCAATAAAAATAAATGACCAGGGGCTCCTGGGTGGCTCAGTCAGTTAAGAGTCTGCCTTTGGCTCCTGGGATGGAGTCCCGCATGGAGCTCCCTGCTCAGTGTGGAGTCTGCTTCTCCCTTTCCCTCCCCCACCTGACCAACTCATGCTGTTGGTCTCAGATAAAATAGTAAAAAAACAAAAACCGACCAGTAGCATGTTTAATAAGGAGAGAGTATTGTGGCCTAAACACAGGTTTATTTTCTTGTTAAAAAGACCTGATGTAGTCTGAAACCATTGCTGATAAAAAGCATCACAAAGTCATTAGGGATCCAGACTCCAGCCAGCCCGAAACCCTTGCCCATGAATACTCTCCTCAGCATGTTACGAGGTGATGGCTTGAGATGTGGACACAGGAAAGAAAGGAAGGAAGGAATAAAGGAAAATGGACATTCTTAAGGTTTCCTGTAAGTTTCATGTGATACTTGCATCCACATCTTACTGGCTGTGTAGTGACATTGCCACAATTTGGGCAAAGAAGGCTGAGAAATTGTCATATTTGCATACAGTGCCACACCTCATGAAACTGGGTTTTGGCCAAGGAAGAAGAGAAGACTGGATTTGTAGTAGATTAGCTATCTACCATAAGATATTATGGCCATCTATTGGAGGGAAAAAAGCTGTCCTTGGACTACTGTTGAATGGAACAAAACAAAAACCCAATCCCATGTTTCATGACCTGAGCCGAAGTCAGATACTTAACGTCTGAGCCACCCAGGTGCCTCAAAACCCATGCTTTTATATTTATCGTAACCCGCTTTAAAACCAAGCAATCTAGGTAAATGTGTGCATATGTAATAACTGATAATCTTCGGGTCCTAGAATTGCAAATGAGTTTTTTAAAGATTTCAGAGAGAGAATGTGGTGGAGGAGGGGGAGGCTTAAGCAGACTCCACGCTTGGGTGTGGAGCCTGACATAGGGCTCAGTCTCACAACCCTGAGATTGTGACCCGAGCCAAATCTAGGAGTCAGACTTTGTCGACTGTGCCACCCAGGCTCCCTGTAAATGGGTTTTCTTTACATTTTATTTGCATTTTCTAAAGTTGCTAGGCTGAAAAAAAAATCTTTATGCTTAAATGTTTTTTCCAAATTAAAAGGTGGAAAGTCTTCCACCTGATTACTCTTCTAGGAGACAGTGTTACTAGTTCTCTTACGTCCTTGGAGATACTCTGGGCATGCTCAAATGAACTGGAGTGTTGTTTTGTTTTTAGATGTAATGATGTAGCTTGGAGATAATGTCATGCTACTGCTTAGTAGGAAAAAGCTCTGATCCCATCTCCTGACAGCAGATGGGATCAATCAGTTATATGTTAAAAGTCCCATGTATTAAAATTGGCACATGAATTTCCTGGTAGTTCCTGGGTATTTCCAGTCTCTCCCTCACCCTGGTTCCATTTCCATGGGCCCAGACATGCTTACATCTTCTCTAGCAATCCACTCCCTGCCTTACTTCTGTCAGCCCAGCATTGTAGAGTGGAAACAGGTATGGGTTTTGGAGTCAGGTTCAGTTCCTAGTTTTCTGCCATCTGTAGCATCTTGGGCAGGACACTCAACAGTCTGGGTCTCAGTTTTTATATTTTTAAATTGTGAAAATGTTAAATCTACTTCTTAGGTTTAGATGCAGGTTTTTAAAAAAAAATATTTGACAGAGGTCACAAGTAGGCAGAGAGGCAGGCAGAGAGAGGGGGAAGCAGGCTCCCTGCTGAGCAGAGAGCCCAATGTGGGGCTCTGAGCCGAAGGCAGAGGCTTAACCCACTGAGCCACTCAGGTGCCCTGATGCAGTTTTAATAAGGTCAACAAAATACCAGACACAATAGGGACTCTGTAGGTGCTATCATTTCTCCTCAAATCACCATACCCGAGATTCATTTACTATTGTAACTGTGGTGACTTCCATTTTGTCACTTGGTTCATTTCACAACCTTTTCTGTTCTCATGGAAACCAGTAAAATTTTGCTAATGTTACTAACCTAATGTTTGCTAAGGCTACAAAAAAGTTTGATTGTTTTGATAGAATCTGACCATCCCCTCCATCTCTGTCAAGATTATCATCAGCTGCAAGAAATGGGTAAAGCCAAAGAAACATTGGTTAAACAAAAGATATTTATGTCTCTGTATTGGCTGCTTGGGACAACTGCAACAACATACCATGAGTAGGGTGGCTTAAAAACAACAGACATTTGTCAGTTCTGGAGAAGTTTGAAATCAGGCCATGCTCACTCTGAAACCTGTCAAATAATTGTGATTTGCAATGATCTTTGGCAGTCTTTGGCTTGCAGCCGAGTAACTCCTATCTCTCCCTTTGTGGTCATGTGGTCTCCCTGTGTGTCTTCACATGACCATCTTATATTGATCATATTGGATTAAGGGCCAATCCTACTTCAGTAAGACATCTTAACTATATCTGTAGTGATGCTATTGATAAGGTCACATTCTGAGGGACTAGGGATTAGGATTTCATGCCTAACTTCAGACACAAGTCAACCATAATTCTCTCAAATTCAAAAACCTGGAGGTAGTGGGATTAGGGTTTGTATGCAGTCCATATGTCTGGCACCCAGACGACTTCAATCTTGTTGCTTTGCCATGAGTGACCTCTATTACTAAGAACATTTTATGATTCAAGATAGGAGACTGACCAAAAATAAAAGACAAATTACCAAACTCAGGAAAGAAGACACATCACAACTGATTCTACAGAAATTGGAAAGGATTATAAAGAAATACTATGAACAATTTTATGCCAACTTAGGTGAAATGGAGAAGTTTCTAGAAAGGCGTGAATTACCAACTGATTTAAGAAGAAATACAACATCTGAATCGGTCTGTAAGTTGAATTAATAAAATCTTCTCAAGAAGAAATATCCAGGCCCAGATGGTTCCACAGTTAGTTCTGCCAAATATTTAAAGAAGAGGCTTCCCCAGTTCTCAAACTCTGAAGCTAGAGAAGGAAGGATCATTTCCCAAATGATTCTAAGACCAGTATTACCCTTAAACCAAAATTAGAGAAAGATCACAAAAACAGTATTACAGACCCGTTTTCTCCCATGAACATTGACACAAAAGTCCTCAACAAAATAGTATCAAAGCAAATCTGGTAACATTCTACATCATGACCAAGTAGAACTTATCCTAGGAATACAAGGTCAGTTTACCATCCAAATGTTAATTACTATGTAACATGAGTAGAATAAAAGGCAAAAACCACACAATTATTCTAATAGGTACAAAAAAGCATATGTATTTTAACCAACATTTTAATAAACTAGAAATAGAAGGGAACTTGGCCATCTTGAGAAAGGGATTGGACTGAAAAGGACGCCGAAGACCGGGAGCAAGGCAAAGAAGTCTGCTCTTGCCATTTCTACTCAATATTGTGCTGAAGATTCTGAGCAGTGCAGTTAATAGAAGGAAGAGAAAGGAGAATCTGTATTCACAGATGTTATGAACCTGTACATAGCCAAATTCCAGGGAATACATACACACAGAAATAACTGGAACTGATAAATGTTCAAAGGGTACAAGACACATATACAAAAATCAATTGGATTCCTATAGCAAGTACATATGAAATGAAATTAATTACATTCATAATAGCATTAAAATGAATGCAATACTTTGGAATAAATTTAACAAAAGTAGTGCAAGATATTTACAATGTACAACAAAAGGTATTGCTGAGAGAAAGATGATTTAAGTTAAAGGTTCTCAACCAGGGGGGATTGTTCACACTGAGAAATTTTTGGCAATG